ATTAGTGGAGAACTTCAATATCCCACTAACAGTTTTAGGTAGGAAACTGTGTTGAAGCAGAAAACTGGCAAAGAAATCTTAGACTTAAAATACATTCTTCTTATCTGCACATGAAACATACTCTAAGGTTGACCACATACTTGGTCATAAATCCAGTTAGAATAAATTCCAAAAAGTTGAAATTATACCAAGCATCTTCTCTGATGACAGCAGAATAAAAATAGAAATCAACACAAGGAGGAACTCTCAAAAACACAAAAATACATGGAAATTAAACAACTTGCTCCTAAATAATTTTTGGGTAAAGAATGAAATAAAGACAGAAATAAAAATATTTTTAGAAACAAATGAAAATAAAGACACAACATACGAAAACCTATGGGATGCCATCAAAACAGTGCCAAGAGAAAAGTTTATAACATTACACACCCACACCAACTAAAAAATTGAGAACAACAAAAACAACAAAAATGCAAAGGATCAATAAGTCAAAAAACTGGTTCTTTGAAAGAATAAACGAGAGAGAGAGAGATTTAAAACAAATGCCCTCAAACCTGAAAAAGGCTATGTTACAATTGATACTGAAAAAATATGAACGATTATCAGAGATTACTATAACCATCTGTATGTGTGTAAATTAGAAAATCTAGCAGAAATGGATAAATTCCTGGAACCATACAGCCACTCAAAATTAAAACAGGAAGAAATTGAAATGTGGGATAGACCAATAACAAGCCACAAAATGGAATCAGTAATAGAATAAAAACCTACCTACCAAACAAAGCCCTGGACCAGGCAGATTCACAACTGAATTCTACTAGATGTATGAAGAACTGGTACCAATCCTAACTGAAAGTATTCCAAGCAATCGAGAAGCAAGGACACTCATTAACTCATTCTTCACAGTAATATCATCCTGTCATAAAAAAATGGCAAAGACACAACAAAGGAAAAAAAGAAAACTACAGGCCAAGACCCTTAACGAACATAGACACAAAAACTCTCAATTAAATACTAGAAAACCAGCCGGGCTCAGTGGCTCAGCCTGTAATTCCAGCACTTTGGGAGGCTGAGGCGAGTGGATTACCTGAGCCCACAGGTTCAAGATCAACCCGAGCAACTTGGTGGACCTCATCTCTACAATAAAAAATAAATAAAAAATTAGCCGGGCGCAGTAACAGATGCCTGTAGTTCCAGCTACTTGGAAGGCTGAGGCAGAAGGATTCCCAGAGCCCAGCAGGTCGACGCTGGGGTGACCGTGAGCATGCCACTGCTCTACAGCAGTGACGGAGTGAGACTCCAACTTAAAAAGAAAAAAAATGGGTGCAGTTAAATACTAGAAAACCAATCCAGCAGCACATAAAAAAGGTCATTTATCATGATCAGGTATGCTTTATGCCTGGGATGCAAGGCTAGTCAATATGCACAAATCAATAAATGTAATTCACCACATAAACAGTAGTAAAAACAAGAACCACATGATTATCTCAGTAGACACAGAAAAAACATTTGATAAAATCTCTTCATGATAAAAACCCTTTACCATCTAGGCACCAAAGGAATATTCCTCAAAATAATAAGAATGATCTATGACAAACCCACAGACAGCATCATACATAATGGGCGGAAGTTAGAAGCATTCCTCTTAAGAACTGGAATAAGATAAGGATGTCCACTTTCGCCCTCCTACTTAACATAGTACTAGAAGTCCTAGCCAGAGCAAGAGAAAGAAATAAAAGGTATCCAAGTAGAAAAAGAGCAAGTTAAAATATTTCTCTTTGCAGATGATGTGATTCTATCTAGAAAACCCTAAAGATTCCACCAAAAGACTCCTGGCACTGATAAACGACCTCAGTAAAGTCTTGGGATACAAAATCATCAATAAAAAGTCAGTTGTATTTCTATACACTAATAGAGATCCCTGGCCCCTGCCCCTTCCCCTGTTGCTGTCATCAGAACACAATCAAGAACACAATCCCATTTACAATAACCACACACACACAAAAGTACTTCAGAATATACCTAACCAAAAGAGTGAAGTATCTCTACAATAAGAACTACAAAACACTGCTGAAAGAAATAAAAGATGGCACAAACAAATGGAAAATCATTCCATGCTCATAGTTTGGAAAAATCAATGTTGTTAAAATGTCCATACCGCCTAAAGCAATCTACATATTCAACACAATCCCTGTGAAACCACCAATATTATTTTTTTACAAATCTAGAAAAAGCAATACTTACATTCATATGGAAGCAAAAAAGAGCCTGATAGCCAAAGACCTCTTAAGAAAAAAGAGCAGGCTGGGCTCAGTGACTCAACCTATAATGCCACGCTTTGGGAGGCCGAGGTGAGTGGATTGCCGGAGCCCGCGGGTTCGAGACCTGCCTAGGCAACTTGGCAAGACCTCATCTCTACAATAAATCAAAAAATTAGCCGGCGTGGTAGCGCGTGCCTATAGTTCCAGCTACTTGGAATGCTGAGGCGGAAGGATCGCGGAGCCCAGCAGGTTGAGGCTGCGGTGGCCAGGAACGGCCACTGCACTCCAGTCTGAGTGACAGAGTGTGACTCCAACTCAAAAAAAAAAAGAAAAAGAAAAAAGAGCAAACCTGGAGGGATCACATTGCTGAACTTCAGATTTTACTACAAGGCCACAGTAACCAAACAGCATAGTAATAGTACAAAAGTAGGCACATAGACCAATGGAACAGAATAGAGAACCCAGAAATAAAACCACTAACCTACAACGATCTCATCTTTGACAAAGTTGACAAAAACAAACACTGGGAAAAGGACACCCTGTTTAACAAATGATGCTGGGAAAATTGGCTAACTATATGCAGAAGAATGAAGCTGGACCCCTATCTCTCAGCATATAAAACATGGAACCAACCATGCTACCTATCGAAGCTGGACTGGATTAAAAACATGTGGTACATATACACAATGGAATATTATACAACCATAAAGTAGGACAAACATATGTGCCTCGCAGCAACTTGGGTGAATTTAGAATCTATCACACTCAGTGATCTATCACAGAAACAAAGAACAGAGTACCATATGTTCTCACTCATAAACACACCTTGAACAATTATCGCAATACTATAAGAAAGGGATTGGCAGTAGTGGGAAAATGCCAGGGGAGAGAGGGTGGGACTGGCAGTTGAGGGAAACTGCCAGGGGGAGGGAGAGGCACACCTCATCAACAAGGGTACCTGCATAATGAACATTTGTGTATCTAACCCTGAATTGTACCTCACATCTTTAAAATTAAAAAAAGGCAAAACAAAACATAATTATCTCAGGATGGATTAATGACTTAAACATAAAACCCCAAACTATACAAATCCTAGAAGAAAGCCTAGAAAACACTACTAGACATCAGCCTCGGCAACGAATTTGTGAACAAGTCCTCAAAAGCAAATGCAGCAACAATTAAAATTGACAAGTGGAACCTAATTAAACTAAAGAACATCTGCATGACAAAAGAAAACATCAGTAAATAGAAAATCTACAGAATGGGAGAAAATCTCTGCAAACTATTCATCCAACAAAGTACTGATATCCAGAATCTATAAGGACTCACATGAATTGATAGGAAAAAAACAAAAAGACAAATAACCCCAGCAAAAAGAGGCAAAGGACATGAACAGACACTTCTCAAAGGAAGATATACAAGCGGCCAACAAACATACGACAAAATGCTCAACATCACTAGTTGTCAGAGCAATGCAAATCAAAGCCACAATGATATATTATCTTATACCAATCAGAATGGCCATTATTAAAAAGTTAAGAAACAACAGATGTTGGGGAAACTGTGGAGAAAAGCGAATGTTCCTACGCTGTTCATGGAAATGTAAGCTAGTTCGCCCCTCTGGAAAACAGTTTGGAGATTTCTCAAAGAACTAAAAATAGATTTACCATTCGACTCAGCAATCCCACTACTGGTTGTATACCCAAAGTAGCATAAATTGTTCTACCAAAAAAGACACCTGCATCTAATGTTTATTGCAGCACTATTCACAAAAGCAAAAACATAGAACCAACCTAGGTACCCATCAGTGGTGGACTGGATAAGGAAAACGTGGTACATATATACTATAGAATACTACACAACCATTAAAAAGAACAAAACCATGTCCTTTACAGCAACATGGATGCAACTAGAGACCATTATTCTAAGGCCATATTCTAAGGCCTTAGCTGATTGGTATAAGATAATACATTTATCACAGAAACAGAAAACTGAACACCGCATGTTCTCACTTATAAGTGGGAGCTAAGCACTGGGTACACATGAGCATACGGATGGGAATAACAAACACTGGAGACTCCTACAGGGGGCAGGGAGGGAGTGAGGGGAGTAAGAGTCGATAAACCACCCACTGGGTGCCAAGCTCACTCCCTGGGTGATGGTCTCAATAGACATCCAAACTTCACCACCACGCAATAGCTCTATGTAACAAGCCTGCACATGTACCCCTTGAATCTAAAATAAAATAAAATTTAAAAAAGCAAATTATGATACATAAGGCAATTTGCAAACAATGTATATGTTATTATCTTGTTTTAGTATGTATAAATAAACAAACAACATTACATACTTTTGCCTCAAAAATTGGCAAGGGGATAAAAGATGAGTATGATGTTTTAAAGATTTATTTAATGATATTAATTATTAACTAAATTTCTGCCAGTATCCAGTATCCATGTTTTTCACTTGTAGTGACCTATGTCCTTTATAGGGAAGATTATCTTGTTTTTTTTTCTTTCTAATGTTATTACTGTTATTCTATATTGATCAAATTTCAGAGTTAAAAAATGACTGTAGATTTTGCATTACAAGTTATTTAATGATTAGACGGGTAAACCCAGATACAGAGTAGAAGAAATACTGTTTTAGAAGTTTGTTTGATTCTATTAAACAGTGGAAGGATTTTTATTTGTTATTTCAGCTTTAAATGTTTAATAAATAGCTGTATCTCTTTTATAGCCACTGCTGTTGCAAATCCAATACTGTCGTCCTTAGATGTTAAACGGATTTTATTTCAAAAAATTACCAATAAAGGGGATGAGTTGAAAAAAACCTTTCAGCTACTCGATACTGGTCAGAACCTGACCGTGTCAAAAAGTGAACTGAGAAGAATTATTACAGACTTCCTGATGCCTCTCACGAGAGAACAGTTTCAAGATGTTTTGGCTCAGGTACGATGTATTGTAAATACTTAGAACAGTTCAATTGCCATAGATCAGAGGCGCCTGTAACCTTTCCTCCCCACTGTTGCAAATGAACAATTGAAGTTTTGTTTATTTCTTACAATTTACTTAATTAAGGCCTATTGGATAATCACAATCAGTGGATAGTTGGTCATATTTTGCACATAGCACTGCTCCAACCAGTTCCTTTTTTTTTTTTTAAGATTCCATATACATGTATTTGGTCAACTTATATTTTGGAACTTAGTATTTTGGCGTGAGTTCTTATAGCAAATGGTTATTGAATGTCTACTACATGTAGCCCCAATGCAAGACACTGGGGGTGCAGGTAAGTCAGACTGGGGCCTGCCTTGAGTAGCTCCCAACCCAGTGAGACATTCATGGAGTGTTGGCATGTGCTGGGATGGGAGGGAGTCATTACAGGGTAGCTTGGGCTTTGGAGAAGGAAGAGCTCTAGGACCATGAAGGGTGGGAGTCCACAAAGGCTTTTTGAAAGGTGGGGTATCACCTTAGTTTTGACTGGGGAATGGGCATTAGCTAGATGAGAGAGGAAGACAAGGTCATTTTCAGGCAAAGGAGACAGCCTACGGGAAAGCTCGGATGTGAATCAGCCTGCCATGCTTGGGGATCTGGGGAGAGTCATTTATATCTGAAGTGAAGGGATGAGGATCAGGTTGTGGCTAGGGAGCCCAGGCCGTAAAACAGCTTTGTAAAACAGTTGGACCTTTATCCCGAAAGCTATAGGGAGCCAGTGAAGGGTTTGCAACAGGGGGTGATGCAGTTATGTGTGAAGGAATGTGGAGTGGGCCACCTGGTGGTGTACCATATCAGGGGGATGGAAAGAATTAAAATGTGCCATTAGGGCCCTCAAAAAAGGAATACAAAATGCAGTCGAAGTTACATGCTCTCAGATAAGTCTATAATGATCAATATGGTAATTACAAGAGTGGAAAAATTGGGCTGAAATATCATTAGTATTGCTTTCAACCCAATAACTGAATGTGTGTACACACACACACAGACAAATATATATTTTAATTATTCATTAGTTCTTAATCAGAGTCTGGCTTTATGTTATTTAATAGTATTTAAAAACATAATTCTTTCTAGAATTTGCATGCTTTCAACATAAGAGAATTATAAACAACATAAACAACATAGGAGAATTATAAAAATGCATAGCTCAATGAATTTTAGGCATTTCTAAATTTCAGTCTTAACCTCAGGGACTGGCTCTCGTTTCTTTCACTGATTTTTAAAAATATATATACTTTTATTTTTTGTTTCTTCTTGTGCATGCTATGTTACTATCTCAAGGTTTTCTCTCTCCTTTAATTTTGTCTTTCTTTGAATTTGGGAAGTTTTCAGCCATTATTTCTCAAATATTTCTTCTGCCTCATTCTCTTCTCTCTTAGACATTTGATATTGTCCCACTGGCCCTTGAAGCTCTGTTCATTTTGTGTCGTTTTGTTTTTTTAAGAGATACAATCTGACTCTGTCGCTCAGGCTGGAGTGCATGGCATGATCATAGCTCACCGCAGCCTTGAAACACTTGACTCAAGTGATCCTCCCAGCTCAGCCTCCCAAGTAGATGGGAGTACAGACGTGTAATACCATGCCTGGCTAATTTTTTTTGGTAGAGATGGGATCTTGCTATGTTGCCCAGACTGGTGACAAACTCCTGGCCTTAAGCAATCCTCCTGACTCATTCTTCAAAAGTGCTGGGATTATAGGCATGACCTACCATGCCCAGCTGAGGCTCTGATTTTTAAACGTCTTTTATTCTCTGTATTATCCAGGTTGGATATGGTCTGTTGATCTAGCTTTATGTTCACTGACTCTTATCATCTCCATTCTGCTATTAAGCCCATTCAGTTAGTTTTAATTAAATTAATTAACTAACTTTTTAAAGTCAGTATCTCACTCTGTTGCTCAGGCTGGAGTGCAGTGGCACAATCACAGCTCACCACAACCTCCAACTTCTGGGATCAAAAGATCCTCTTGTGTCAGCCTCCCAAGTAGCTGGAACTACAAGCACACGCCACCATGCCTGGTTAATTTTTAAATGTTTTATAGATCCAAGGTCTCACTATGCTGTTTAGGCTAGTCTCAAATTCTAATTTTCAATTTTAGGTGTTGTATAATGTAGTTCTAGAATTTCCATTTAGTTTGCTTTTATGATTTTTATTTACTTGCTTAGATTTCTTATTTTTTAATTCAATTATGTGCATATTTCTTTTAATTCATTGAACATAGTTAAACTAGCTGCTTTCAAGTCCTTATCTAGTAATTCTAACGCGCTGTCATCTCAGGGTTGGACTGCATTGATTGTCTTTTCACTTGATAAGGGTCTTATTTCCCTGTTTGTTCATATTTGAGTATGTTTGGATAATATCCTAGACCAGAGTTGTCCAACAGATGCACTGTGAGCCACATATGTAGTTTAACATTTTCTAAATTTCATAAATGTAAATTTCATAACATTTATAGCTGAAATCTTAGATTCACTTACTTAGCTGTTCTAAACACACTTAAAAAGTTTTCTGATAACTGAATCGATACTATTTTTAAATTAACATTAAATAAAGCCAGAAAAACCCATGTAATAGTTGTGTTAATCACATGTCAAGTACTCAGTAGTCACATGTGGCTATGACTGTTTATTAGACAGTGTAGTGCTAAACATTGTGAATGATGTGTTGTGAGGACTCTGGATTCTGTTATAGTCCTCTGAAGATTTTTGACACTTTTTCTGACAGACAATTAACTTGCAAACTCTGTGTCACCTGTAGTAGGGAGTAAATCATACTTTGTTTCAGTTCCTTTATTCTTATCTGAGTCTCTTTGAATCTGACCTGCATATACATGGTTAAGTGGGTCTCCTCCTCTGTCTCTCTCCTTTGAGAGAAAGTTGGAAATATCCCTCACATTTTCTAGTGGCTATGGTTACTTTGGGTTTTGTATGAGTCCTTTAGACTGGAGAGACAACTGGAGTTTAGTTGTTCTTTGTTGGGCAGTGACTGTGACTAGTCCTCAGGCTAAAAGCCGTTAAGAAACAGGAAACTCCATCTGTACCTATCCCTTCTCTAAGTTTTGCCTTCCTCCATAATGTGCCTGCTTTTGTTTACTCTCCAGAGTCTTTAGATATTATTATTATTATTTTATCAGAGTTCTTAGTTGTTTTCTGTGGAATGGCTGGTCTGTTTTGAGTTTTCTCTGCACAGCTTCTCTGCTTTATCCTGTTTAAAAGAAATAACAAAATTACAGAAAAGTTGGAAATATAGTGCAAAAAACCATTTTTTCCAAATTATTTGAGACTAACTTGCTCCATTATCCCCAAATATTTTTGTGTGTATTTTCTTTGTACAAGGACACCGTCCTATAATAATCACAATCCAACCATCAAAGTAAAGAAGTTAACATCAACTCATTACATGTACCTCAGCCCCAGAGTTCAGCCAGGTTTTGCCCACATATGTTTTATACGAACCAGGTCAGAATCATACGTTGCATTTGGTTGTCATATCTCTTTAGTACCCTTCAGTCTAAAACGGTTCTTCAGTCTTTCTTTGGCTTTTATATCCTGATCATTGTGAAGGTTGCAGACCTGTTATTTTGTAGAATGTCCCCAGTTTGAGTTTATCTGGTGTTTTCTTATGACTAGATCTAGGCTTACATCTTTGTCAGAAATATTACAGCAGCAATGTTGTATTCTTCTCTTTGCATTTTATTAGAGTGCACATGACTTTAGTTTGTCTCATCACTGCTGATAGTCACTTTGATCACTTAAGGTAAGATCTGTCAGACTTTTCCATGGTATCCACTTTGCAATTATTAAGTATTTTGTGAGAGAGGCTTTAAAACTAGTAAATATTCTACTTACCAAACTTTCAAAGTATTCATTTATTATTTAGGTATTTGCAGGGACGACCCAAGGTTTCCTTTTATGTGGGCTGTAGGTTCATTATTTTCATTATTTCTTTTGATATTTAAATTATTCCCACTTTGGTCAGTAGGAGCTCTCCCGAGCTGGTTTCAGTATCCATTTGACATACCCACATCATTCTTTGAGTACTTCTTTGCTTTCTGATCTAAGATATTCCAAGCTCATCTGTACTTTCCTTGCTTTGGTCCCAGAATCAGCCATTTTTCCAAAGAGCCCCTGTTTCTTGGAATGAAAGAAGATATCGAGAAGTCAAGATTTGAGCACAAGTGCTATTTATACAGTTGGAATATCACTATTGCCAGGCCCTCTCAGTGAACAGAGCTCTAGATGATACATTTTTTTCACATACATTATATACACACTTACATCTCATTTATTCTGTATCAGTCTCTTTGTGCATATTGAGAACCAAGAGTTTGCACCATTACCATCAATTTGATTGCGACACTCCAGGGATCGTTCTAGCTTCTCCTTTTCCAGGATTGTATCTACCCTCTCACTGAGTGAGAAACTTGACTTCTGTTGTCTTTTATATGTCTACTTTTTGGATCAGTCTCCCTCTTATGTGACTCATCTAATCTCAGCATTTCCTCTGTCCCATGTGGATGCCTTTTTCACCCCATTTGGCTCTGACACCCCACTGTGATGATGTCATTCTCACGCCATATCCTCCTCTGGACTACCGTGGCTTCCCCAACACTGCAGACACCTTTTTTCTCTGCCCCATATAACTTTAGGACTGAATTGTTAGGGAAGATAGGAAAGGGGGAAAGGAAGACAATGTACTTTTCTCTTCTCATTTTTAAAATGTTTTCCCTTTATTCACTTTTATACTGGTGAATATATAGTACATACTGATTTTTTTCACATCACTCTTTATTGTTATCTACATTTTAAATGATAGCTTTGTTTTTTTAAATTTTTTATTTTAAAGATGTCGGGTACAATTCAGGGTTAGGTATACAAATGTTCATTATGCAGGTAATCTTGTTGATGAGGTGTTCCCCAGCCCTTGTCCCCTGGCAGTTTCCCAGTACTGCCA